GATATATGAAAGATTAGATAGACAGATAGATGATAATGATGTTGATGTTGATAGATAAATAATGATAAAGATAGTAGATAGATAGATAGATAGATAGATAGATAGATAGATAGATAGATAGATAGATAGATAGATAGATAGATAGATAGATAGATAGAGAGATAGATAGACAGAGAGACAGAGAGACAGACAGATAGACAGACAGACAGACAAACAAATAGATGATGGATGGATGGATGGATGGATGGATGGACAGGCAGACAGACTGACTGACTTACAGACAGACAGAGATGTAAGAGAGAGACAGGGAGAGGGAGGGAGAGAGGAGGGGTAAAAAGAGAGAGAGAGAAAGACAAGAGAGAGAGGTAGTAGCAATGGTGAACGAAGGACATGCAACCAGGCGCATCTTGTCCTTCTAAGGTTTGAAACCTCAACTGGTACCCAACAGTGGTTAACCATTGGAGTGATGGCCGCACCGAGGAGAAGGCCGCATCATTTATTGGGCCAGAGACTGCCATGAGAACGAGAGGCTTTACCTCTGTGATGATGAAAAAGTCATCCCCTGGCTCCCCCTGGACCACGATTTTCTGTCCATCCTCAAACTGGACCGTCTCGAGCGCATCGGCCACCGTCAGGCGCTCCCATTTGTCCAGCGATCCTAAGAGATGAAAGAGCACCAGGACAGTGAAATTTGAGGCCAAGGGAAGCCTCTGCAGCCTCGGGAGGCCGAAAAACGGGCCTTCCAGAAATACTGGACGTGCTTGTTTTCAGCTTCTGGAGGGCCTCGGGAGGCTAAAAACAGGCCCGTTTCGGCACTTCCAGTATTTCCGGAAGGTCCATATTTCAGCCTCCCGAGGCTGCAGAGGCTTTCCTCGAGCCTCCGGGAGGACGAAAATGGCCCACTGTCGCATAGAGGCAGTCCTCAACTTACAACCACTAAGTAAGTTTTGCCCCCTTTTATGACCCTTCTTGCCACAAGCTGTTAAGTGAATCCCTGCAGTTGTTACGTTCGTATCATGGTTTGTTCAGTAAATCTGGTTTCCTCATTTGACTCTGCTTGTCAGAAGGTCGCAAAAGGGGATCTCATGATCCTGGAGATGCTGCAACCGTCATAAATACGAGACAGTGGCCAAGCGTCCGAATTTTGATCACATCACCAAGGGCATGTTGCAACGGTCATAAGTGTGAAGAACAGCCGTAAGTCACTTTTTTCAGTGCCGTTGGAACTTCAAACAATCACTGAATAAACTCTTCCAAGTTGAGGACTAATTGTATAGTGCAGGGGTGTCCAACCTTAGCAACTTTAAGATTTGTGGACTTCAACTCCCAAAATTCCTCAGCCAGCAGACCAGAGGTCTCCAATCTTGGCCACAACCTTGGCAAATCTGGCTGAGGAATTCTGGGAGTTGAAGTCCACAAGTCTTAAAGTGGCCAAGGTTGGAGACCCCTGGTATAGCGGTTCTACCTGTCACTGCAGGCCGGTGCTATTTCTCAAGCTGGATTCCGGTTGATTATTATTTATTTGTTATCGTTTATTAAATTTATTGCCTGCCCATCTTACCACAAGCTAACTTTGGGCGGCTTACAATGTTTAAAAAAACAGTATATAAATAAAATACGACGATGAAAAATACAACGCGCAGACTTAGCTAAAAGAATAGAATCGAGTAACAGAGTTGGAAGGGACCTTGGAGGTCATCTAGTCCAATCCCATACTCAAGCAGGAGAGTCTACACCATTTCAAACAAGCGGCTGTCCAGTCTCTTCTTGAATACCTCCAGTGATGGAGGGAAGCTGTTCCATTGGTTGTCCTGTCAGGAAATTTCTCCTCAGTTCTAAGTTGCTTCTCTCCTTGATGAGTTTCCACCCGTTGCTTCTTGTCCTGCCTTCAGGTGCTTTGGAGAATAGCTCGACTCCCTCTTCTTTGGGGCAGAGGGATCAGGCAGCAGTGGGATTCGAACCCCCAAAGAGACTGGAGCCTTAATCCAGCTGCTTAGACCACTCGGCCACACTACTTTAAGAGGAGGAGGGAGGGAGGGTGGGAGGAGGATAAATGAGGGGGAGGTGGGATTATTATTAATCTATCAATCACCCCCAATGAAAACTTCTTTGGGCCCCAAGCCAGCTACCTTACCATTGCTCCACCATACTACAATCCTGGAACAAACCATAACCAGGGTGGTTTTCTTTTTCAATTTTTAAGACTAAAAGCTCAACCAGGACCCTTGTGTTTAGGATTGACATCTCCCACTACCACCCACCCCAGGGTTCATGGTCTTGTTTTGCCCGTTAGACTCTGCCCAGGTGAAGGAAACAATCCAATCCCCATCCCCGCCAAAAAAAATTACAAAGCAACGCACCCAAAATGGAAACCTTGCTCAGAAATTCCTCGTACATTTTCCGTTTCCTCAACGTGCTGCCCTGTTGAGAAAAAGAAGGGGGGGAGAAAAAGAGACAAGGGTGGGGGGTGAGAAGAAGTAATGCTACCCCCACACATTGCTGCCAACCTCAGAGGAGATCTTAAAAGTCAAGATGCAACGCAAGAGGGGGGAAAAACACGCTCCAGAACTTAATCCTCCCCATTTTCTTGAGCCCACGGAGTTCCCACCAAATGCGAACCTCGCCCTTCCTAAATTGGATCAGGTCTTTTTAAGTGGGTGGAATTTAACATTGGTGGATGGGGCACAATGACCCACACCCTTCCCTTCCCAGCAGCTTCAAAACAAGAGGGGGGGAAAAAAACTCAGCTATGATCCACATCTCGATGGCCTAATGAGTGTGAAGAATCGATTAGAGCCCGCCATCACACATCTAAAAGGACCTGGACTTAAGCAGATCATCGGACACTTCCCAGCTTTCTCCTTGCCAGTTTAGGAAGACGAAAAAGCAGAGGGGGGAAGCTTCCCCCTCTTCCCAATTTGGATGGTTGAGCTGTAAACAAACAGGAATGTTTGCTTACAAAGTAGGGCCAAAGGACCCTCAGAGCGGTTAGTGCAATTCTAGGAGGGGAGGAAGAAATGAGGCTGGCCAGACGAGAGAAAGGAAAGGCATTATGGGACACACACATTAGTTTTGGTCACCCTATTGCCCCAAAAATGATGTGGAGCGCAGAGTGCAGAGAAGAGCAACTACGATGATTAAAGGCCTGGAGACTAAAACATATTGAGGAATGGTTACAGGATTTGGGTTTGGCTAAATCTAAAGAAAAGAAGGACTAAGGGGGTCAGGGTAGCAGTATTCCAGGATTTGAGGGGCTGCCATAAAGCAAGAACGATTAATCTATGGAGCAGCTTGCCTTCAGAAGCTGTGGGTGCTCCATCACTGGAGGTTTTTAAGAAGAGACTGGATAGGCACTCGTCTGAAATGGGATAAGGCCTCCTGCTTGACCAGAAGACTCCCAAGGTCCTTTCCGGCTCTCTTCTCCTACTCCTGCTCTACTCTACTGTACCTTACTCAGTTCATTTCTGTTTTTTCCCCAGCCTCAACCAGATTTGCTTGGAGAGCCATGCACACCCAACCCCAGGATTCGCAAGCAGCAAGTCCATTGCTGGTGAAACAGTAGCGGGATTCAAATAATTTAACAACCGGTTCTCCGCCCTAATGATTTCTTCCAACAACCAGTTCACCAAACTCCTCAGAAAGGTAACAACCGGTTCAATTGAACCGGTGTGAACCGGCTGAATCCCACCACTGTGGTCAAATCCAGGTGGTTTTGTTTTTTTTTTCCTTCCAAAATGCAAAGCCCCCTTTGACATTGGGGGTGGGGGCAATTTCCAGGGCCCTGGAATGACCAGACATTCAGACAGCAAAGACTGACAGCTCAGCACAAGACCAAGGAGGGAAAACTGGACAACCTCCCACACCAATCCGGGCTGGGAAGTTGCCAGTGGCCAGCAGACACTGACAGCTGGAGAAAGAGAGGCAGGTGTCTGCCCCACGCCCACGGGCTGCAATGGGGCCGGGGGGGGGTAAGGGGAACCGATCCGGAGGTTGCATCCTGCCTTCCAACCATCTGTGGGTTGCCCAAAAATTTTAAGAAGCAATAATCCCCAAGCAGAGGCACTCTCCAACCCACTGAGGTAATTAAAAGCAGAGATAGGTTAGGATTCGGTGAGGAGGGAGTGTGAAAAAGACCAGGATATCAAATTAAACTCCACTGTCTGGCTTCTCAAAGTTGCAAATCTCCCTGTTGCTCTTTAGCAAATGCCAACACAGAATCGCCAGATTGGGGCAGCCGATGGCCAAATGACCCCTTAAGAAACTCCAAGTTCTGTTTTCTTTCTTTCTTTTAACCAGTCATAAAAAGGAAATGAAAGCGATCCCTTCGGTTGGTTGGAGTGATGTACAGAGGGGAAAATGTCATGCCAAAGGTAAATAACAGGCCAATGGAGTAGAGAGACTGATCCTCTTCCAAAGGCTGTTATATATTACCGTCTCTGATCCCAAGACAACTCCATTAAATCACATGCTCGGGGCGATCCTGTTCCAGATTGTACATGTGTCTCTGACCGAAGCAGTACACAGAAGGGAACAAATTTTGTGTGTTCTCTCTCTCTCTCTCTCTCTCTCTCTCTCTCTCTCCAAGGTCACCCACAGCATCTGAAATCAATTCTAACGTCGCTGCAAGAGATGGAGTGGTCTTCAAGTCAAGTGTGCTTGATGGTCAAGACAATGTTTTAAGCATTGGGATCAGAATAGCCTGGGGTTCTGTTGTACACCCTTTTTAGTAGACCTTCTCCCTAAATCTGGAGAACCTCAACTGAAAGTATGCAGCCTGTGAAAATCTACAAAACCGCTGGATCTCTCCATGGGATCATGCAATTGCCAAGGAGCTTCTTGGAGGAGAAGCGAAATGTCTTCCAAGAAAAACCAGAAAGTCCAGATGCCTCTTGAAAAAAGCACCTTTGAGACAGCCATGACCTGGATGACTGAGAATCTCCGTAGACATGCCAAGATGTCACACCAATTAACCCAGGGGAAAAGGGATTAATGACCTATGCACCTTCCATTGTTGCAAAGCTTCAGCTTTGAGGAATCTGCTCCAAAAGTCTGCACAACATTAGTGGGCATTTAAGCTGCGAGGAGAGACTTTTTAGATATATAAAATGACAAGGGCAAGAACGAAGCGGGGGAGGGAGGAAGAAACACACATATTCTGTAGGAAAAGAAGAAAAAAAAAGTAGAAGAAGAAAGAGGAAAGCAATGCCAAGCCAGCTTGGAAAATAAAAGATTTACAGGCAGCCAGCGAGTCCAGAATTTGCAACTCGATACGCAACTGAAAAATAATAAACCGTGAATGCCATTTCAATTAGTCCTTGCAAACACATCACCTGAGCAACGGGCCAGGAAAGTGACAGCCAAAGTCATCTGGTTTTGACAAAGCATCATACCTGCAGCCTTTGTGCTCTCTCCGTCTGGTCATCCCATTGCCAAGATGGTCCCAACCAACCCAACCGAAAAGTTCACGTAGGACTAAAAAAAAATCCCTCCACCGTGATTTATGGACCGAGTCGAGGTGCTTTTCAGCTTTGGGATTATTACTGCTTTTCTAAGGCCTTCTGCTCCAAGCTAGATGGATTTTTATTTTATTTTTTTGCTTGACATGGACCGAGAGAGAAGCCAAGGGTGGGCGGCGGGGGGTGGGGGAATGTCAGAAGATAGATCTAGCGGGCAACCATCCCAAAGGAGAGAAGGCTCATCAATGTTCCTGCAGGGAAATGACCCAAGTACATGTGCCAGGTTGGAAGGAGGCGGTAGATGGTCGATTAAGCTCAGTAAACAGTGCTAATGGGGAGAATTAATAAATAAAGGAAGACAGGAGAGAGGATACCAAGTCAATTTGGCAACAAAAGCCTTCCCGGTCCAAAGGCTCGAAAACCAGGCCAAAGGGAGTGATTATCTGAATGCTGTTCAGTGCTGCTTGGCACCAGGAATCTCGCTCTGTGGCCAATCCAAGATTAAACACCTGTTCATTACCTCCTGCCCCATCCTTTTCACTCGCCTTGGGGGGACAATTAGGCGTAGCCGTGGGAGGCAGAGCCAACTGCCAGCTTCATTCAGCTCAGAAATACTGATAAGGGGAGTTGGAAAGGCTTCTTTCTCTACCCCCCCCTTGCCCTTGAAAATCTCGCCCAGATGTCTTCATTTTTAAAGGGGAGGGGGTGATTTTCCCCTTCGCTCCTTGCTGGTGGTGAGTTTGGGATTGAGGTAAGGATTATCTATGGCAGGAAAACCTGGGGATGAGAAGAGCTGCAGGTTTTAAGAAACCGTGATGGGTTTTTTGTGGCTTTGTCTTTTGGGGGGGGGGGTGCTTAAATGTTTAGGGGAACTGAGAGCCTCAACACAGATGGTTGGGTTAGAAATGTGAACGTCCCAAAAATGCATTCGAGTTGTCTTTTTAATGTGGATGATCGTTTTTTTTTTGTCAATACGCACATTCCTAAATTTCATAGGTCTATGGTTCTGGGTTTAAGCTTTCAAGGAAGGAAGGAAGGAAGGAAGGAAGGAAGGAAGGAAGGAAGGAAGGAACAATAACTGTGCTTGCAGGAGAGAGGGAGAAAAGAAGGGAAGGAGGGAGGGAGAAGGAAGGAAGGAAAGAAGGAAGGAAGGAGCAATAACTGTGGTTGTGGGAGGAGGGAGAAAAGAAGGAAGGAAGGAAGGAAGGAAGGAAGGAAGGAAGGAAGGAAGGAAGGAAGGAAGGAAGGAAGGAGCAACAATTGTGGAAAGTAATTCTGTGTCTTCTCAGGCAGAGTTAAACCCTCTGCAGCCTCCAAACTTCCATCGCTTCCCCCAGGTTTCTCCACCCTTCCACCCACTCTGTCCCGTGTGATTGATTGATTGGTTGATTTTTGCAACCCCTTTCATGGTGCCAGCCAATCTTCTCTCCTTCTCCTTCCACCCTTTCGGCCTCTCTTTACTTCCAAGTTTCCTTTCCATTCATCCCACTTATCTCCCAGACGTGGCACCTGTTCTCGGTCCGACTGGCCACTTCTCCCCCACTTCCCCCCACCCCAAAAAAAGACCTTGAATTCAGAAGGCGAAGCGACAAAGGCCCATTGTACAAAGTTGCCCGGGCTTCAGTTCCCCAAGAAAACCTCCCCACGAGAGATAATGGCTTCCTTTCATCTCTATCTAGGCTGAACTACGCAACAGACTTTTAAGTTTTGAGCTCAACAACACAAAGGACACACTCCTCAAGTGAGAAGGAACAAAGGTCCCATCCCTAGCCCTTGTGGACATGGGAGATGCGTTGAATCGGCCTCCAGGTTTTACTCCAACCTACAGGTAGTCCTCAACTTATGACCCCAATTAAGCCCAACCTTTCTGCTACTAAGCAAGACAGTTGTTAGGTGAGTTTTACCCCATTATACAATCTTTTGCTATTTTATAAGGGTTGTTCAGTGAACTTGGCTTCCCCGTTGACCTGGCTTGTCAGAAAGTTGCCAACGGGGATTACGGGGGTGGCCCTTTTGCAACTGTCGTAAATGCGAGTCACTCCCAAGCATCTGAATTTTGACCATGGGGGAAAAACACCCCAAGTGGTGTTTTGTTTTTTTTAAAGGAGGTTTTGAAACTTTTTTAAAAGCTTTTTTTTAAAAAAATCACAAATCCCCAGCCAAGAGACACAATGTATTTGAAAGTTTGAAGAAGAAAAAAATGCTTCAAATATTTCCATATTTTTCTTCTATTAAAGGACAAAGTTGGACGCTTCTGAGCGGCCTGGGAATTTTTTTTTTTCAATTCTTCCTCCCTTTGAAGAGCTGCTGGAAAACAGGTTCTTGGAACTGGACTGGAAGCGTTCAAGTTATTTCCAAGAGAAGTTGGAGAAAAGAGAGTGGAGAAGGGCTACAAGAGTCCCGGGAATGAAAAGCAAGACATTGAAAGGGATAAAAGCAAAGGAAGAGAATAGGAAAAGGAAGAGGGGAAATTGTTGATAGGAGCCTGGGGAAAGCCTCAGGAGCCCCCCTCCCTGCCGTGGTGCAGGAGGCCGACTAGGCCACGCCCACCAATGCCACGCCCACCCAGCAACCGGGCAGAGAACCCCTTGCTAAAATTTTAGAAGGCCACCCCTGGATTAGACACCATCTTTCTGGGCTCCTCACTCCCCCAGAGTATGCAATAGCATCGCTCGGACGAATGAATGAGTTGGGTGTTGCCATGTTAAGTTTCCATCGGGTCTTGCATCATCCATAATGCATTGGGGAGTAGTTGGGCATTAAAGAGGTCTCCTTAAGGGTCTCCAGGGGTTATTTACGATACCCACCCCTTTGGGAAAGCTGTCCTCAGAGGCATCTCTCTGCTTCTCTGCTCCCAAGATCGTAGAAACCGTGGTCTACAAGTTATGTAGGTCTAGAGCTAAGTCCTTGACTTAGGACCCCAATCATTGTGTCCAACATTTCCATTGGTAAGCAAGACAGTCGCTTAAGTGAGCCTCGTCCCATTTTACAACCTTCCTTGTCACCCTTGTTAAGTGAATAACTTCAAATGGTCCCTGCATCCCTGCTCATGACGAAGAGGAAGGCAGGCTACCGAAAGCCGGCCACCAAATTCAACCTTCCGTTGCCTGGTGTGTGTCGGTATAATTCCAACGCCAGGTTTCTCCTCCAACCCATCCGATGTGGCCAGCTGAACGAAGCTGCTTTGAAACCTCCAGCGTGGAAGGGATAAATATTAAGAAGTTCATTGCCTACAAGCCTTCCTTCGGTCAACAGAAATTGCGCCTTCGGATCTGATTGTACTGTAGCTCTCTGTGACCCCAAAATGAACCTAATTTAATTTCTCCAGAAGAAAGGGAGAATCCAAGGCCTTTCATGCCCATAAATAGAGTTTTGTCTCATTTTGGAGGCTTTCCTCTTTCATAAATCGTATGCAGTACTAATGGGCCGTGATGCGTTTCATTTTATAAAGACAGCTGGCCCTATATACACCCCCCAAGGCCTAGTATATTTCAAGAACCTTTCCCCACATTAACCAACTGCCCCAGCGAGGGGAAGCCTTGGAAGAGGTGGGCTTCCAAGTTGGTTGGTTTTGTGTTTTTGTTTTTTAAACCCACCATCAAGATGCGTCTGTAGCTATCGCGGTCAATCCCCCAGAGTTTCAGATCCGTCTTTGCTTTGACGGTCGCAGCTCGTGGTGTGCCATAAATGAGAGCCAGTTCTCCAAAGCTGCCTCCTTCTCCGATGCTGGTGACCAATTCTCCGTTCACGTACACCTTCATGAAAGAAAGCGAGAAAGCAGGTTAGCCCTTGAGAGGAGCAAGGACGGAGCGAAAAGAAAAAAAAAATCCTCTCCAAAACGAACATCGCATGCAGGGGAGGGCTGCTGGGGGTTCTCAGGGGTTCGGTAGAGCGCCTAACTGTTGTGGTTCGGCGGCAGCAGATGTGGACGGCTGAGGTCTCGGAGAGCGAGGACTCAGGTGAGGGTCCTGCGTGGGATGCAGGGATGGGGCCAGGACCATCAGGGAGTGGGGTGCTGCCTTCGGAGGTTGTGGAGGCTGGCAGCAGTAAGGAAGAGGTCCCCGAGGAGCCTGTGCCCAGCGCGCATGCGCGCAGGGCTGCTTGAAGGAAAGAGGAGCTGCTGCAGCACGGGCGACTCGGGAGTAAGGCTGGAAGGCAATGGCCCCTTCCTTAAGAGATAAAAGCCAGCTGAGAAACTGCAGTTCTTTGCAGAAGGCAAAGAAGTTTGATACTCAAGCCCGGTGGACGTTAAAATATCTTAGTTGGTGTTTGGAGACGTTTTGATTTATTGTTTAGGAACTTTATCTGTTGTTCGTGGCAAGTTTTGGCAAGGCTCTTTCTTGTCGGAGCTAATTAGTTGGAAGCAGCCTTTTATCTGTGAAGAAACAGGATTCGTACATGAAACAGTAAACGGTTGTGCTGTTACCTTTGTCTTGTGTTTGCTCTCTTGGAACCAGGTTTGGGTCAGAACACTAGCTAAGTAACCCCCCAAATTCCACTCCTGGCTGGCTCCACCCACCCCTTCCCGCCCCTCCCAGGAGTCCCCACATGGCCCATTTTGGAGGCAGGTAAGTGCAGGGCGTGTGTGGAGGCACAGGGAGGGCAAAAAAACGGGCCTCTTGGAAGGCCGGAAATGGGCCCGTTTCCGACCTCCAGAGAGCCTCCGGATTCCGGGGAGGGCAAAAACGCCCCCCCCTCCTGCCGTGGTGCAGGAGGCTGACTAGGCCACGCCCACCATGGCCACGCCCACCCAGACACCAGGCAGAAATCCCCTTGCTAAAATTTTTGAAGGCCACCCCTGATCACAAGCGTACGACACATACAAGAGGCTACGGAGATTCTCAGCCATCCATTTCGCCAAAGGGCAAAGGGACTTTCTTGGGGAAAGCAACCTGGGGAAAAAATCCTTCATAATACAATGTTTCACTTAACAACGGTCGCAAGAAAGGTCGTAAAATGGGGCAAAAGTTACTTAACCAATGTCTCACTTAACAAGAGAAATTTGGGGCTCAACTGTGGTCATAAGTCAAGGACTACTTATATTCCTACAGGAAGCCCACATAAAATCCTGAGATTCTACGCATGCCCAGGTCTCTTCTCTTCCCTTCCCTTCTTGCGTTCTTGATTTAGAATCCTTTTCAGCCAGCTGGAAAAGGAACTCCCTTTTATTTGAATGTGGCCTTGACTTAAAGTCTGGTTTCAAAGATAATAATAATAATAATAAAATAAAAATAAAAAACCCTCCATCAAAGAGACCACCCTGAAAAGTCCAGGGCTGTAGGCGGAATAAGGGACATTTAAGGGAGAAAAAAGAAAAAAAAGAAAACGAAAAATCACAGAAGATAACCAGAGAAAACAACTACAGAACTGTGGCCAAAGAAAACACAACTTAGCAAAAAATATCCAAAAAAAATATATATATCAAAGAGAGCGGAGAATTCTTTCAGAGGTAGGACGAAGTTGCCTTCAAGGTTGCGATCTTTTGCTGGCTCTCTCTCCACTGAAAAATTGCTCACCTTCTCTGCCACCCAATTTCCCTAAACCGGACACTCTCCAGATGGCCTGGACTACAAGGCCCATGATCCTTCCCCTGGCCAGGCAAGCTGGGGGGTTATGGCAACTGTAGCTCATCTGCCTCAGTCAGGAGGTCCATCCAGAGGAGCCGGCCTCGCAGAAGCCCGTGCCGACCCTTTTTCCAGAAGCAAAGGGGGGAGGACGGAAAAGGGCGGCCAGGACGGCATGCAAATTATCCTTCTGTCCCTCTGTTGAATTTGACAACTTGCTTCCCAGATGAAAATGCCAATTTTGGAGTCTCCGTGGCTATCAAAGAGGGAAAAGGTCACCTCCACAAAAAGGCCCAGTGTGCTAGAGAGGAGAACGCAGAGTCCGAAGGGTTTCGACCCGGCATTTTATGGTGATGAGAAAATAGGTTGATGATAAACTGTCCTGTCATTCTGGCCTCTGCTTGTGAGTTCAACTCTACTTGCATGTTCTGCCTCTGGGCAGAGGAAGGGAAGGGAAGGGAAGGGAAGGGAAGGGAAGGGAAGGGAAGGGACGAGGGAGGAATGGAAGGAAGGGAGGGAGGGAGGGAAGAAGGGAAGGAAGGATGGGGGAAGACAGAGGGAGAGGAAAAGGGAGGGAAGGAAGGAAGAAAGGAAGAGGGAGAGAGGGAAGGAAGAGGGAGGGAGGGAGGGAAGGAAGAAAGGAAGGAAGGAAGAAGGGAAGGGAGGAGGCTGGGAGGGAAGGAAGGAAGGAAAAGGGAGGGAAGGAAAGAAAGAAAGAAAAGGGAGGGAGGGAAGGAGGGAGGGAAGGAAGAAAAGGTAGGAGGAATCGAAGGGAGGGAGGGAGGAATGGAAGGAAGAAAGGTTGAAAAGGGAGGGAGGAATGGGAGGGAGGGAGGGAAGGAAGGAAGGAAGGAAGGAAGAATGGAAGGAAAGAAGGAAGAGGGAGGGAGGGAAGGAAGGAAAAGCGAGGGAAGGAAGGAAAGAAAGAGAGGAAAGGGAGGGAGGGTGGGAAGGAAGGAAGAAAAGGGAGGGAGGGAGGGAGGGAGGGAGGGAGG